CATAGTGCTGCAGTGCCCCATGAGATAAATTCAAGGTTTTCAAAACACGCAAATAGATTCTCGGGACCAGCTTCAGAACATATGCAGTCTATCACATACAAAAAAAACATGTTTAGACACATGCAGAAGAGTTCTAAATGAAGAAATTCAGTTGATAACCTCAAATCAGGTATGGTTACAACAAGTAGAACTGTATAATAGTTCTGAAGGTGTCACGCCTAGTATGGTCCAACAGATCAAAGATATATCGAGTAGAAGGTCCTACTGGCAATGGCGTATCCTAATATAGCCTAATTGGTCACAACTATAGAGATCTAGTTGGTTAGGACATATCCTAATATGGTAAAACTATCAAATATATATGGAGTAGAGGATCCTTTTGGCTATGGCATATTTAGTATGGCCAAAGAGGTAACAACTACAAAAAAGATCTAGTTGGCTAGAGCATATCCTAATATGGTCCAACAAATCAAATATATATAGAGTAGAAGTTTCTATCGACTATGGCATAACCTAGTATGGCCCAATAGGTCACAAAAAAAAAAAGAGATCTAGTTGGCTAGGGAATAACTTTGTATGTTCCAACAAATTAAAGATATATGGAGCAGGTCTTATCGGCTAAGGCATATCCTAGTATCACCCAATAGGTCACTACTGTTAAACCCCATGAGCCTAGAGTATAACAGGATTTTGATGATTAAAAATATTATTGATTATACTAATTACTAATTAAGCTATGTGTGTAGGAAGTTATTTTTAATCTAACATTGCATAAAGCACACAAGTGGAAGATTCAAGACAAGAACTTGATGAAGCCAATGAATTGAACAAAATTAAATACATTAACATAAACAAGATAAAGAATCAAAGAGTGTCTAACTTGTAATTTTTATTTTTATTTTTCTTGAGTATTTTTGTATGTTAGGCATAAAGTGGGTTGAACAATCATATGCACACATGGGGTGATATAAAATTAAATAGAGTTAATTAAAGCATTTGATTTTATGATTTAATCAATTGTATGACTTACATCGTATTATACGATTTGAATGACAGTTTTATAAATTCTAAAAATCAAGTGAATTAATTAACCAAAATTGAAATTGAAAATTTGTATAACCAATTGTGCAGTATGATGTAAATCGTTCTGAATTATCAATTATTCAAATTCAAACCATTAAAAACCTAAAATTTTAAAAAATAGGTAATTTTAAATTTTGAAGTGTTGGTACCATGTATTATGAACTACCTGTTTTATAACCTAAAATCAAGGGGATAAATCAGAGTTTATTTCAAATTGTATGATCATAATCATATAATCTGAATAAATAAAGAGCTTGTTAGACAAACCAAATTCGAGCATGACAATCTGGTTCATAAGCCAATAACTTTATTAAGATCAAACTATATGATCTTCCTGCAAAAATTAATCATATCAGAATTTTTAGGGTTTAATTAAGAGCTTAATATAAATACTTCTTTAAAGTCTTTTAATATGAGTCTTTGGACGATCAAGCTTTCTTGGGAGAGATCAAGAGAGTTGAGAGAGAGCTTTCGGAAAGAATCATTCTATTGTGTAAGGGAGAGAATGCAATGTTGCAACCCATGACCGAGTTTGAGATTTTGATGATGACAAATAATGTCGTTTGAATCATCTATTTATTGAAAATTATTTTATTTGTTATTGTCCGTGAGTACTAACATTTCAGGAAGATCAAAAGCTACTTAGGACGATAGGAAGACTCAAGAATGGGTAGATTAGGAGTATGAGTCTGCAATGTATTTTGTTGTTTATTTTATTTTTCTTTTCTTAAGTCTGGCCACAAAATGCATAAAAGTCTGAGCAACCATGCACACACACAGGGGGAGAGTGTTTTTATATGAAAAATTTAGAGTTTTTCTTTCTCTGTAGATCGTACTGTACGATGTTATTTCGTACCGTACGATCAGAGCTTTGTAGGACGATTCTGTGAATAGATCGTACCATACGAATGTATTCGTACTGTGCGATATGTTCAAAGCCAAAACCCTAGCAGCCGTTTTAACTTAAGTAAGTTATTTCCGCCGCTCATACTGTATGAACATCGTCGTACTGTACGATTTTGTTTAAATACTTAATTTAATCCGTAATTAGTGTATGAAATCTGGGCTTAATTATAATTTGAACATCATACTGTACGAACCAATTCGTACCATGCGATGAACATAGACGAATTATAATCGTCCTGAAGATTGTCCCGGACGATCTCTTCAATTTTGTCTCATCGTACGGTACGATGTCAATCGTACCTTACGATGAATAGAGACGATGTTTGATCGTCCCGACTATCGTCCTGTACGAACAGAATTGTTATGGATAATACCCTACGATTTATAATCGTACAATATAAATGTTTTTGAACTGTTCGTACCACTTCGTACCAGGACGAAGTCTGTTTATACATATCGTATTGTACGATTAGAAACCGTATTGTACGATAGTAACGGCTACTTTTGAAATCTCAGGGATTTTGGAGCCCGTTTTGAGGTGAAAAACTTGTCATATTTTGAGGGTGTGAATTAGAGAGGAGAACGTGGTTAGAGAGGGATTCCGAGGGAGAGAGCTCTTGAGAAGTTCTTTAGGGTTTGAGAGAGGAAGGAGAAGGTGAGGGTTGTGAGGGAGAAGAGGTGTGAGGGAGATCACACAGTTGCTCCGAACTTGCTGCATCTTGCTCCTCCTGTGGCCCTAGAAGAATTTATGGGAGGATCTCCAAGGGGAAAGGCTCTTCTACATTCGTGACCTCGAGGTACTCTGCCATCTCCAGGAGGGAGAAAAACGAGAAGGTTTTCTACCGTCGCCAGGAGGGTGAAAACAGAGTTTGGCACTCCGCCACGCCCGGTTGGTGAAAGGGAGTATTGTAAGGGCTTCTCCGCCTTGCCAAGGGGGGAAAAAGGATAGCTATTGCTTGTAGTGAAATACCCGGAGCGGAGGACTCCGGGGAGTGGACGTAGGTCATGGTTTGACCGAACCACTATAAAAATCTCGGTGTGCTTTTTCCTTATTGTCTTTTATTACTGCGTGCATTTTATTTTTCAATATTTACTTGAGAAAATTTGTGAAAAAAATTGTTTAAATTTTCATGTTAAAATTTTAAAACATAAAAAATATTAGAACTCCTGCTTAGGTTTTAACTATTGTCAAAAAGTTTTCACAATTCCCCCCCCCCCTCTCTTGTCCATCTAGTAATTTCATGCAAGAGATAAACGAGTGATTGTGTGGGATCCATTGCAAGGGTGTTCAAGAGATCTGGTTGCACAAAGATTTTTATTCTTATCTATGTCATTCTTTTCTTATTTTAAATAGAGTTAGGGCAGTTGGGTGTAAGAGCTTGAAAGATTCTTGGGATAAGACTCACTAACTAGGAGGCTAGTGGTGAGGCATCTCCACCGTATTGGGTGTAGGAGGGTGGTTTTTCAGAGAGAGGTGGTGCACAAAGTTGCTTTCCTATCAGAATAAAGGAGAAAGGCTTCTCCATTTTATTGGGAGCATAAGGAGTGGATAATGAAAAATCTGTGGAGAGTATTTCGGGGAGTGGACGTAGGCCAATTAAACCGAACCACTATAAAAATTTAGTTTGCGTTCTTTTTCTTTTAGTTTTATTTTATTTCATGCATTTTTTGATTTGTTGTTTTTATCTACTGTTGTTACATGTGATTTTGATTTTTGAAATATTAAAAAAATATTATAAATAATTGTTAAGTCCTTTATTACTCTCAAATTATTTTAAAATAAAACTTTAAAATTAAATTTTTGAGTTTGACAATTAGTTTATTTTTGCTACAATTTATTTTTACTACTCTGTAAAAGATAATTTTAATAGAGTGAGGGCAGTTGGGTGTAAGAGCTTGAAAGAGTCTTGGGATAAGACTCACTAACTAGGAGGCTAGTGGTAAGGCATCTCCACCGTATTGGGTGTAGGAGGGTGGTTTTTCAGAGAGAGGTGGTGCACAAAGTTGCTTTCTTATCAGTATAAAGGAGAAAGGCTTCTCCGTTTTATTGGGAGCATAAGGAGTGGATAGTGAAATATCTGTGGAGAGAATTCTGGGGAGTGGACGTAGGCCAATAAAATCGAACCATTATAAAAATTTAGTTTGCGTTCTTTTTCTTTTAGTTTTATTTTATTTCATGTATTTTTTTATTTGTTGTTTTTATCTACTATTGTTACATGTGATTTTGATTTTTAAAATATTAAAGAAATATTATAAATAATTGTTAAGTCTTTTATTACTCTCATTTAAAATTAAATTTTTGAGTTCGACAATTAGTTTATTTTTGCTACAATTTATTTTTACTACTTTGTAAAAGATAATTATTCATATCCGGGGGTGGGGGAGGGGAGCCGGGCTTGAATTGACTTTAATCGTACATCAACTAAAAAGATGTGTAGTTGGCTAGAGAATATCCTAGTATGGTCCAACATATCAATAATATATAGAGTAGAAGATTCTAATAGCTAAGTCATATCCTAGTATGGTCCAACATATTTTAATTATATGGTGTAGAATCCTATTGGATAAGGCATATCCTAGTATCACTTTACATTTTGAGTAATTTTTTGTTTCATATATATGTAAATCTGTTACTTCATACTTCAATATAAAGTTAATATGTCATCCTTTAATATATTATTTAGGTATTATATAAAAAAAACATTTTTAACTTTTATTTTTTACTTGACGCAAATTTTAGATAATGCCTTGAAGCTTACACCTCACCAAATGAATGAAAAATGACTCAATACCCAATCGCACAATTTTAAACCTTGGCTAGGGCTACAACCGGCTCTAAATCCTTCACATCAAGCGTCTCTTTTTGAAATCAAATGATGATGCTCCTCAGAGACTCACCCAGCTTCGGCCTTATTTAGCAATGCCAACAACTTCATTAAAGACCACTGTGCTATAGCAAACTGTTATAAACATATTCTTGAACTCGACAGATGAAGTGATCATTCAAGCAGAAGACGCCAGAACCACTAAAGTGATTCTTTGAACATAGTGAATAATAACATACAATGCAACTGAGTCACTGATATCCATCAGTTTTCCGGATTATCGGTTGCAGAAAACCGGTATGAAGAACTGTTGTTGTTGGTGATACATCATAAAGCCAAAATTCATTCATTTCAATTTCTTATTTACTTTCCCTTGACACGGATATATTATTATCAGTGAACTGCTCAGCAGGAGTAAAAAAACAAACTTAGGTCCCATCCATGTAATAAAAAGTAATTAAATGTACAAAGGAATAAAAAAGCATTGAAGGATCCAAAAGATATAGCTTTGTACCACTTTAGCAGCCTATTTTTTTCATCCCACTTTCACTTCGTAAGGATGCTTTCACCGTTATATCCATCAGAATACTTTTCATCTTTGTCAAAACTCTAGATTCCATTTCACAGAAGCAAAAAATTCAGAAGTTGCTGATTGCCGCTGCTTCTATTCTTCACTCGATTCAAGTGCCTGCTAAAAGTCAAGCATGGGCTTAGACGCATCAACATAATGTTTGTAAAGAAAAAAAAAATTAAAGATTCAAATGAATAAAAAGTTAAGTGTCATCACCTTTGAAAGCCATGGAAAGCATCAGATATCAAGATCACTAGCTTCAATTTCTAATAATGCCATTAGGCACCGCACCATTTGCTAGTTTCCTCATTCTGGAGCAACTTGCATAATTGAAGTTCGCTTACAGTTACCTTTACCATATATCCCATGGGTTGTGACAGGGAGAAGCCATTTTCCATGACTCTTATTCTAGCAATAAAAATTTACATTCAATATGTTTATTTTATCACCAAAATCAATGGTTGATGAAATAAAACTTTTCTCCTGATCTGCACAGAAACTAACCAAATACAATCTTATTTATGAGCATTTAACAATTTGAAGGGAATGTTCAAATAATCAATTACCCTCTTCAGTTTCCCTCAGCTTCATGCATCATGATATCATCCAAACTTTTACCGAAAGTGCAAGGAAACTTTCTATCATGGCATCCAAAACAACATTTTGTAACAATGGATGAGCAAGTTGCAGCAAGGCTCACCTAACATTGGGTTTCTCTCCAATATCTGTCCTAATAATTTGCTTAGAAACAAACTCTGCTTCTTTCAGCTTTCCAGTTCTCTCAAGAGCCAGCATTAAGGACTTCATGCAGCTAGAGATAACACCTGATCCGTGCTCATCAACCACGTTATAAAACAAATCAAAAGCTTCTGAACCTCTCTCAATTTCACAAAGCCCATTCACAACCATGCAAAAAACTTGAGGATCCAAATTTTCTTTTTTCTCCAAACTGAATAACAAAAGGCCTCGCGCTTCCAGGAATTTCCTCTCTTGACAAAGAATAAGGACGAGCTTCTCCATCTTCACGCAATACCCATTAGCATAAAGCAGCCGAATAATCCCGAAAGCTTTTTCATTCAAACCATTTCCAAAAAGCTTATGAACAACGTCAGTTGAAAGATCACTATTCTGACGGATCTTCCTCTCCAACATTACAGAAACCAAATCAGCAGCTTCATTTGCATAACCATCCTTTCTCAAAAGCCCATCCAAGACTGAATGAAAACAATCCGTACTAGGCCGGTGACCAATATCCAACATCCTCTTCATAGCCTCCAATGCACAGCCAATATTTCCCTTGGATATGAATCCATTCACCAACTCTTCACACAATTTATAATCCGGTTTCAGGTCCCTCATCACCATTGAAACCAGCAGGTTGTATCCTTTTACAAATGCACCTTCCCTGCAATACCCTAGGATAATTGTCTTGAATGCAGCAATATCCACAGTAGCTCTCCTATCAAGCAGCTCCCGAAGAACTTTCCCAGCTTTCTCTGTCTTCCCGCAGCTGCACAAATGCTCAAACAGCGGGTTATAAGAAGCCATTAAGGGGAGACAAGAATCAGCTCTCCTGAAAACCTCCTTCTCATGGAGCTCATCAACCAACATTTCTGCTCTCCCAAACTTCCCAATGGAGCACAGCCCCCTAATAAGAGTGCTGTAAGTAGCAGAATCACCCTTCAAGCCAAGCTCCGTCAATCGATCAAACGTCTTGAGTGCGTCCTCCACACTACCAGCATTGCAGTGTGCAGCTATCAGAGTATTGAAGGTGCAAATGTCAGGCTTGAAACCGGCTTTTTTATCAAAAAAATTCTTCATCAAATTCAATTTTCCGGCTTCACAAAAGCCCTTCATAAGGGTATTAAAAGTAATCTTATTCGGCTTTAGGCCAACAACCACCATTTTGCCAAATAACGCAACGGCTTTATCCACCATAAGCCGGCTGCAGTAGCCACGGATGAGGGTGGTATAGGAAACGACATTGGGCACAACATCAGCAATTTTCTTCTGCATTTCTTCAAACAATTTATGAGCAGCACCAAACTTCCCTGTCCGAATGAGCCCATCTAGAAGAGTGTTGTAGGTGACAACGTCGGGGTCGCAGTGGTGGCGGGGCATTAAGCGAAAAACATGGAAGGCCTCGGATAGCATTGTATTAAGGCAAAAGCCACGAATGACAGTGTTGAAAGTGATGGCATCGGGCGGAACGCCGAGACGAAGCATGAGGTGGAACAATCGTGCAGCGGCGCGGGTGCGGCCGCGGCGGAATAAAGCGGCGAAGAGGGAGTTGAAGGAGAAAGCGGAGTATGCCACTCCGCGGGCCGGCATTAGCCGGAAAACCTGAACGGCTCGGCGGAGATGGCCGGCGCGGGCCAGGGAGCGAATTAAGGCGTTGAAGGGGGCATCGTGGAGGAGAGGAGATGGGTGAGGGAGGGAAAGCAGGAAATCGACGGCGGGGCGGAGGTTACGTGAGCGAAGGAGAAGGTTTAAGGTTTTGCCGGTGGCGCGGTGGTCAGCGAGAGGGGAGCGCAGGCGGATGGCGGATAGCATAAGTAGGGGGGCGGCGGAAGGTGAAGGAAGAAGGGAAAGGGCGCGGAGAAGAGAGGAGGGGTGGGTGAGGCGGAGAAGGAGGGGTGAGAGGGCAGAGTCGAGCGCGAGTGGAGAAGATGGGTGGCGGTCGGTGAATAAACGAGCAATGGCGAGGAGATGCTCTTCATCGGCTGCTGGCAGCCGCAACGAGGGACGGCGGAGCTGGGCGCGCCGGAGGCGAGACATGAGATCTAAATATGTAAATAAATCCAATGATTCTTGTATAATTACCGGCAGAGTGTAGCATTTTCCCCATTTTGAAGTTTTAGTTGCTTTTGAAAATAAGCTCTACCTCTCAATAAAATTGTTACATCAGAATCAAATATACTCGATGAATAATTTAAATTTAATTTGATTTATAGTTAATCAAATTCATTTAAGTAAATAACTAAAAAAAATTGAACATTCTTAAAAGCTTAAAGGTTAAATAAATTAAATTTAAATACCGTTCAAATTATTTATTAATATTAATGGATAAATAATAGAAATAGGGAATGAAAAAAAGAACCCATTTTATGTTCTACCTAGACTTCAAGCAACTTGCATGATAATTTCTTCTGCAAGGACTGAAACATCATTCCTAACTGTTATAAGGGCAATCTCCAACCGAAAAACTCTTTTTTCACTTCAAATTGCAGTAAAATACCTAAATGCAGTAATTTATCTTCAACCGAACTCCATTTTCTAACC